TCTTTCTCTCTCTCTCTCTCTCTCTCTCTCTCTCTCTTCTAGTCTCCCCCCCTCTCTCTCTCACACACTTTGTTCCCGTCTATCTCCCTCGTTTTCCCTGATTCTGACCCATTTCCCCTTCTGCGCTTTGCTTCTCTCTCAGAACTCCACCCGACCCCCTTCTCCGTCAAGGTCCCTTGTCCTTCACAGACTCGGTTCCCAAGGTCTAGCATAACCTGTCTGTTGACACGTTCTGTATTTCGGCCCGGCTGAAACAGGAGAACTCACTTAACACTCTGTGTACCCACACATGGCCGCTCTCTGACCCAAACGTCACTTTTTGTCCAGATTTTGCCACGGCGATGGGGTGCTTTAATTCTCAATTTCGTTGCTCTGTTGATACACAACTCTGTTGCATTTGAATAGTCACGAGTCAATCTAAAATGCTGGGCCATAGCCAGGTTGAGAAAGGTCGTATCTGCGGAGCCTTTGGAAAAAGCGATAGCAACAGCCCGACTCTGACGCTCATATGACCTTATGCAGTTGCGAGCGCCTTAAAACCTCTACTAAACTAAAAGAAGACCCACTCGATGACAATGGTAAAATAATACATCTGTAGATGGCTGTGTGCTTTGTTTTGACAAGTAATAGTTGAGAGTTTAGTAAATCTAGTAATACATATTTTTTTAAAAACCATTGGAGGTTGTATACATTTAAATCAGCACACATATTTTCCTTTTCTTTTTCTGTGTCTGTCTTTCGTTTATGTTTGTTATGTTTTGTCTTTCTCGGTCTGCTTGTCTATCTCACTGTACATCGGTTTCTCCGTCTGTCTTCGTGTCGATCAGACTATTTTGCTCATGTTCTATACTTTGTCTCTACCCCCTCCACTTTTTCCCCTCTGTCTGTCTGTCTGTTTGTCTGTATGTGTGTCTGTCTGTGTGTCTGTCTGACTGTCTGTCTGTCTCCCTTTCTCTTTGTTTGGCGATGTTAGTCTGCCTGTCCGTGTAACTCAATCTCAGTCTCTTCCCTCAACCCACCCCACCCCCCTGTGATTTGTGTGGGACACTCCAGGAGGAGATAGTCACACCCATGACTACAATCTATAAATTCTAGCCCACACTTCTTGCCTAGCAAAAACAAAGCAACCGTTGACAGGAATGCCCTCTTGCCACGCGATCAGCTTTGGGCTTGAAAAGATAGACTTTTTAAAAAAGACGCTCGGAGGTGGTATAGATTTCATTTAAGTGACTTTTCATAAAGGAAAACTTTCAACAGGGTATGGCCACCGAAATTGGTGGGATTGAGTACCTAAAATTGGAGGGTAAATTAGGACCAAATGTGGGCTCGCAAATTTTCACAATGCTTTCAAAAGACATATGACAACACAAGGGATGAAACGATCTTGGCTAATGATCGCCTAGGGAGAGGCGCAAAGCAAGAGTAGTGTAGGTCTTTGGAAAGTTGCCGAATGCTTCTATTTCAGCTTGCTACAAGAGACAACTTTGTGAAGTTGCGTGTTCGTTCGACATAAACCACGTACGATATGGAGACAACCTAACAGAGATGTCGCCGACTTATGCAAAATTCTAACGGCGGTTCCGAGACTTTCCCCCCAGTTTTAAAGGAGGTTGTTTGTTTTGGGACTGTCAGTTCTACTCCAAGGGGTTCTGAGTCCCCTGCCAATTAAGGATGGCTTAGAT